TGCCACATGAGAAAATCCTGACCTTTTGTTAGTATCTGAACTGCCTGATGTTCTTACAAAGAGAGATATCTTCTACATAGAAGATAAATTACCTGAGTCTCTGATTTTTAAAATCTCCAAGACCATCTAATGATATTTTTAAAAATGTATGAATACATACATCTCCAATTTTTCCTTTCTAATCGAGGCTGGAGAAAATTTACAGCACCATTATCATCCAGGCCTCATTACCTCATGGCTAATTAGCTAACATTTGTAAAGCACTTTGAAGATGAAAAGCATCCTATAAATGCTAAGAATTATTAAATAATTTGAGAGGAAAATCATAAAATAGATACATTGTTAACATTAATTTGGATTTTATCTTTGCTTATTCTGTTTTCCCTGGCATCTGACATTTGGAGCTGAACCATATATAAAGTCTGGGTTGGGGGGAGGCCTTGTGGATTTCAGGGGTGACTCAGTGGGACTGGCTTCAGATTCATATTTGTTGAAAACAAGTTCTCACACAGCAACAAATTAACTCTCCAGAGAGATCCCCATTTACACTGGTTAAAGTGTTAGCTAGTTAAACAAATAATTTACCATCACCAAGAACAACAGTTAAAAGGAAAGATGTATTAATTCAGAAGCAATTCATAGTCATTTCATACAATGTAAAATACACATGAACAGTAAGACCAGCCATTGGGTGAAAAACATGTGATTCGACTTTGCCCCTCTGTACCATCTCGGACCCTGCTGCTGCATTGTGGAGGCAGATATATTATGTAGTGTTGACTGTTAGATACATTTTGCTGTCATCAAAAAGGAGTTAAACAAACTTTTTTATGAAGCTGTGCCCCTACTGCCTGTCACCCATCTCCCTCTTCCCCCAGGCCTAAGTGGACAGAGGACAGATAGGCAAACATGTTTTCAAAAAGTCTCTGGCAGCCTGCCAGGGACTGACTCACAGAAGAAAAAGGGGAAGAGTAAAAATATTCTTCAAATATGTGCGTCCTGAAAGCTTTCCACAAAACAGGAAATAATAGATCAAGTGCAGCCCAAGTATTTGCAAACTATTTAATTGGGCAAAGGCCAATCATCCTCTTCTGATCAGAGCAATGTCTTTATTGTTGAAGCCCACTTCAGTGATACTAAAGTTAATCCCAAGTCCTGTTACAGGAAACTCATCCTTATTAAAGTAACATTAAGTGCTCCCTTTTTTTATTGATCTTCGCCTCCAGCTTAATGATAGAAACTTACTGATGTTTTAATAATAACCTCGCAAGCTTTATCTCATTTCACTTTGCCTCAGTACTAAAAGATGCCGTGGAAACTAACTTAGCATAAACATTTTGCAGATGTCTTTAAAAGCCAGGGGGGAGGCTTGGAGGAAGAGTGGGGGGGGGGGAGATTCAATTGAGCTGCAAGTTACCAAAGATGGCTGAAGAACTAAAAGATAAAAGGGAGGCTCCAGTGTGAACATCAAAGAATTGTTAATGACAAGAAATACCATTAGGGTTAGCATGGCTTTTGTTTCAACTCTTTCACACCTGCAGTGTGTGGTGAGCTGAGCCTTTGTTCCAAAATCTGAATTACCTCCATTAACATTTATAGAAAAAATGTTTGCAAAACAACAGAAAGGGACTTTGCCCCCCACCCCTTTAGTTTGAAAAGTCAGAAATTAGTTTAGTATCCTCAGATTTCCTTCTAGTCGTTGGATGTAACTAGGGAGCATATTGATTGATGAAGGGTAATAGGTAGTAAGAGTCTGGTTGAAGTGTAAGAATAGCTTTGTAACTAAAGAGAGGTAATCCAAGCAATGTAGAGAAGCGCACACCAGAAGCTCAGACATTAGCAAGAACAAAATCAGAGCGTGAAATTCAGATTAGCCCTCCCCAGGCTGTGAGAGGAAGGGGGTGGGGTGGGGGGGAAAATCACAAGACTTGGCATGGCTAAAGGTGTAACCTGTTTTATTTGGCCCCTGAAAAATTTTAACAGATGGTGGGACCAGCTGTCTTTTTCAGCCATTTAATAAACTCTTCGGTGGTAACAGTTTGGAAAGTGGGGGTTTTTTCGTTTTAGGCCAGAGGAGAAAATAAAGAAATCTGTCCCAAATTGTCTTTGCCAAGTAGTAGTAAAGCCTGAAAACATTGTGAAAGTTAAATGGGGGGGGCGGGGGGAGCTAAATCCATAATGTTATCATCATTGTATTGTTTTGTTTTGTTTTGTTTTTCTAGGAAACGGTGACTAAACCCAATTTTTCTTTTCTCACAGATAAGGTGACTTTATTACAGATTTTTTTTTTTTTTGCCTGATGCTTTTTTACCTGGAGATTCAAATTTTTCTCTTTCAAAGAAGGATTTTTTTTTTGTTTAATAATATTCATTGACAAATTAGCAGCAGTTTAAAACAGCTATCAACAGTATTCCAAAAGGAAGCAATCAAAACATTTATTAGAAGTTACTTCTCATAGAAGTCATAGTCAATTATAACAAGTGAGTGAATTCCCTCAATTTACATAATTAGTCTAAATTTGCATGGAACCCTCCTCCTGAAGTCATGTAATTTACAGAGCCTGGCTCGACTTCAGGAATGGAGAAAGAGCTCATGTCAAGTTATTTTCAGAATCAGATCTAAAAGGTTTTGTTTTTGTGCCTAGAGTATATTCTAAAGTTGCATTTTTTTTCCTGCCAGTGAAACATCAACTCTCAGTGATGGGGGAAAAGTTTTTATTTACAAAACTTCTCCCCATAACTATAAACATAGCTCTCTATTTTCCATTTCTATCTACGTAGCTTTGTAGGCCTCTTGTAAATACTAGATTTGAAATATGTACGTTCCTTTTAAATTAGTAAAGGGTAAAGAGACCTTCTTTGTGACATAAAGCACATGTAGTTTTTAATTGTATCTGGCAAATCTATTTTTTTTCTTTTTGCTTAGCTTCCTTTCTGTATTTTCTGGGCCAGTAGTGCTGTATGCCTTCTTAAACAGGTGTAGCAAAGTAGCTACAAAAGTCATAATGAGTAATTTCACCTAGAATAAGTTGGTTCCATCATCAAGCTAGGTATTGAAATTAATGGAATGCCATTATACCTCAATTACCACGTGGTATAAAATGTCTTTGACAAATCAGTTCTTTCAGAGGCATTTTCTCTAGTCTATAAAACCAACCTAATATTCACCACTTCTTTAATCACAAGACTTTGGGATCCCAGCACTGTACCAGGAGCTAGGATGGAAGTGACCAGACAGACAAGATCCCTGCTCCTTTGAACCCAAGTAGGCTCCTGTCCTCACTGGATAAACACTGGACAGCACAATGTTCAGACTCTATCTGTGCAACTCCAATATTACCTAAATCGTTTTGATGAGTATGACACTTAAATTTGGAATAACAGGACTTTCATGAGTGATGATAGCAATTGCAAGTTTATTCTACCAGCCCCTTGCCCAGTATCTGCTTTTTAATGCAATAGTGTTGTCTGCCAATCCCAGGTGCCAGAAGCCCCATAAAGCATGAACATCTACAAGGTATATGGATTCAGAAATTACATCTTTTTTCCTTATACATTACAAAAATGCTTAAAAAATCAAGAATCAGAGCTTTACTTTATTCAAAAAAATTATTTCCAGGTTTATTTCTATAATGAACTTCCATGAAAGGTTATTTCACAAATAATTCTGAATGTCATTGATATCATTCAAAAATACTAATTTCTTGTTAAATGCAAAGAGCAGAGCCTCTGCTCACATAACATACAAAATTGTGAAAACATCTGAAGAATGGTCTCCCAAAGAGCATCAACTAGTTTTCATCTTAAATGCATCCTAGATAGATTAAAGAGAGCAATACTTTTTTTAAAAGAAAAGAAAAAAGGAAAAGAAGAAATAATCAATACTATGAGAAATAAATATGAATGTTTTCATGCTTTTTAAGTAGGGAGATCTTTCCAGAAACATAATGTCAAAGACAAATTAAAGAAAAAGATAATGAACAGGGTTCACACCTGAGGAGGCTAAAGTAGAAGGATCATGAGTTCAAGGATAGTGTGAGCTACATAGGGAGATTCAATCTCAAAACAACAATGAAAGAATAATGAAGTTACAACTTTTCTGTTAAAAGTCTTTTTAAATGAGTTAAAGTAAATTTAATTTTTTACGTATGTTCACTATATAAAAATTTAAATCTCAGCCAGGTGTCGGTGGCACACGCCTGTAATCCTAGCTACTCAGGATGCTGAGATCTGAGGATCACGGTTCAAAGCCAGCCCGGGCAAGGAAAGTCCATGAGACTCTTATCTCAAATAAACCACTAGAAAACTGGAAGTGGTGCTGTGGCTCAAGAGGTAGAGTGCTAGCCTTGAGCTGAAGAGCTGAGGGACAGTGCCCAAGCCCAGAGGGACAGTGCCCAAGCCCAGAGTTCAAGCCCCATGACTGACATACATAAATAAATTAAATAAATAAATAAATCTCTCCACATCAACAAAACTATGGTTTAATATATACTTGAGTTCTGTTTGAGAAGATTAAAAAAATTATGGTAAGGGCCACTCAACATGTAAATGTATTTAGTGTCACTAAACTGTATATTTGAAAATGTTGAAAACTGCAAGTTTTGTTATATATATTTGAAAATATTAAGTTATAAATGTGACCTGAAAATTATGTTTGTAGCATATCTACATTTTTCTGGTACTGGGATTGAACTCAGGGCCTTGTACTTGCTAGGCAAGCACTCTATCACATAAGCCACCCCTCCAAGTCCAATATGTACTTTTTTAACCCTACAAATATTTAATGACTGCTAAGATGCACTGAGAATATAACAGACATAAAGACACTATGGTTGTCTCCCATGACAATAATGAGATCTACAAACTATTCAGAAAAAAAATAAAATATCCCAATAAAGACAGGCAATTTACGAAATAATACATATTATGAAACACAATATGACCTTACTAGTAATCAAAGAGAAACCATAAGCTAAATATTTTTACTTTCTGTTTTTTTCATGTCAGATGGATAATATGCCCATGTTATAACAAGGTTTGAGGGAGACACATGTCACACAAGCATGTGAGAACCCATTCATCACACTTATGAACTGGAAAAGGATCTATTTTTACTTTCTTAATAAGTGTTCATTGTTACTGAGGGTAACAATGGGCATTCACAAATTGTTCTAGTAGAATAATAATTTGTTGGCCTGCAACAAGGTGGAGGGGAGAGGAAAGAAGAGGGAGAGAGGGAGAAGGAGAGGGGGAGGTAAGAGTTTTGAAAAAGGGTTCAAAGAATCTTGGTGTCACCATCATTCAAACCTTCCATTGAGGAGTTAGTAGATCTTTAAGAAGTTTATAGAATAAACAAAATTATTTTCAACTTTCTGGAAATACAGGATCACTTTCTTTCTTTATATTTTTGAAGACACCAGAATAGTAAAGTCATGCTAATGTGGGAGCAAGCTGTGAGGGGATAGAATCTTACAGTTGTTAATCCGACACTTTTTCTAGTGGCAGAGAATCCTCTTTCGATGATTGAACCATCTGTGAGCTCAGCAGCAGGGCATGTGTCTTGGTTAGCAGCCTGTATATTTCCTTTGTCCCAAATACTGATGGAAAAGGGACACATGCTTCTATTCAGAAGAGAGAGCTAGGTTGATGCTGAGCTCATAAAGGAAGATAGAGCATTTTCTGTTATCAGTCCCTATGCTGTGATTAATATGCCTATTCTCTATTACTTCTGGTTTTCTAGCTAGAGGTTCTATTCCATGAATAAGATTCCTCCACTAGAGAGAGAGAGAGAGAGAGAGAACATTTACATTTTTCATCTCTCCAAACAGAATTTCAGTGTGGTAGTTCATACCTACAATCCCAGAAACAAATTCCAGGCCATCCAGACTACGTATTAACACACTGGTAAAGAAGAAGGAGGAAGAGGAGGTGAGGGAAGAAAGGAGGTAGGAAAGATGAGAGATGAGAGAGAGAAGGAAAAAAGAAAATGGGAATGCATTACTTGTTCTTGCCCAGCTGTTCTCCAAATAGCACAGACCCTGAGAGAAGGGACTAAGATACATACAAAATGTTCTTCATAGAATTGCATGCAATAGCAAAAATAAAAAAAACACCAGAAGTAATTCAGATAATCAAAAGTAGGGCATGGTAGTATAGCCATACAATGGAAAAATACATAGTCTTGGACATTGGAGGTGGGGAGTGGGAATCTAGTAATTCTTTTTTAAGTGCAAAAAAATTTTATAGTTTATCCTTCCACCTCTCCCTCCAATACTGGGGCTCAAACCCAAGGCCCCATTCATGCTAGGCAAGTGCTCTATCACTGAACAGCTAAGCTACCTCCCCAGTCCCTCTATCATGCTCTTAAAAAATATACATGCTCTTTCAATTTTCAATGGACTTGCATAGTCACAGAAAATATTAAAATGTCTTACATTCTAATAGGTGGGCAGTGCTTTTCTCCCCACATTGAACATTTAAAAATCATTATTAAGAAATAAACATTTAAGAGAAGAAAGTAGATCTTCCTCTCTCATTAGATGCCTATTATTTGTTTTTGAAGAAACCTAATTATAATTGAACTTTCCTGTGTGAGCTTTGTTAACGTTCTCTAATCCTGTTGTAAATCTTTCTGTTTCCTGTTGAAGGTTTTAGGAATGAACTCCACCAGCAATCATCAGTGGAAAGTCCTGATCAGCTACATTATTACCTAAGGAATAAATATTGCCATGTTATCATAAAAGGATTGTTGTGCAACTGCTACAAATTAAAATATTGTTAATTATGTAGAAATGTGGGGAAGAGTTATAGTAAAAGATTGGAAGGATATATCTGATATATGTTATAGCATAAGCAAGGATGTGTGCAGGGAGGGATGATGGGCAAACAGCACAAAGTTCTTGTTCCTTTTTTCATTCAGATTTTCAATAAACACACAAAAAAGAATGGCTGTCTGAAACTCAGTAGTGAATTGATATAAGAGGGAAGGGAGATGTGGTCCAGGAGGACTGGAGCCTGTACTTTTGTAGGTCACCATTTACTAAGGGTACATCCTCGGGATTGCAGCCTATGGGGATTTTGTTTTGTGTTGTTTTGTTTTGTTGTGTCAGTTCTGGGGCTTGAACTCAGGGCCTGGGAACTATCTCTGAGATTCTTTTGTTCAAGGCTAATGCTCTACCACTTGAGCCAGAGCACCACTTCCAGCTTTTTCTGAGCAGTTTATTGGGCATAAGAGTTTCACAGACCTAGGGGCTGGGAAGGTGGCTCAGTGGTAGAGCGCTTGCCTTGCATGCATGAGGCCCTGGGTTCGATTCCTCAGCACCACATAAGCAAAAAGAAAAAAGCCAGAAGTGGTGCTATGGCTCAAGTGGTAGAGTGCTAGCCTTGAGCTGAAGAGCTGAGGGACAGCGCCCAGGCACAGAGTTCAGGCCCCACGACCGGACCAAAAAAAAAAAAAAAAAGAGTTTCACAGACCTTCCTGCCCCAGCTAGCTTTGAACTATAATCCTCAGAGCTCAGCCCCCTGAATAGCTAGGATTAAAGGCATGAGCTACCAGCACTGGCCAGGGGCCTGTGTTTTTGTGGGTCACCACTTACAAGGAAGGGTACTGCCTCAACCTTACAAGCTTAGGGGTTCATTCAATCAGTACAACAGGAAGTGTTCTGGCTCCCAAGAACTGATAAATATAATCTAATAGATGTCAGGAGTCAAAAGCTTTGCCTTCCCATGAAGTCCCAGGAAATCCTGTGAAACACAGAGTTCTGTTCTAGGCAGGCTGAGCCTGGAGCCTGAGCTCCATCCTGGCTGGGACCTTGCCCTGCATATCCTCAAGACCCTCTGCTGGACCTTGAAGGTCTTAGGCAAGGTCAAGATGGATCTCAGAATCTGCACTGAGACACTCTTCAAGAGGGTCTGTTGGAATGGATGTGGTATGCATCCTGACTAGAGTCCAGCAGTGTCAACTGCTCTCCCAGGGGATATGTTTTTCTAGAACGTAAGACTGTTTAGGCCAGACCAGCTGCCTGGCAAATACTTCATCCTTCTGAGTTCTTTCCAACATTCTTTCTTATCATTGTCATCCTCTAATTTACTTACAACACTATCTGGGGGAAAGGCAAAACATAAGACAAAACACAAGAATAACAAAATATTGGCTGGGAAGGTGGCTCAGTGCTTGCCTTGAATGCATGAGGCCCTGGGTTCCATTCCTCAGCACCACATAAGCAAAAAGAAAAAAGCCGGAAGTGGTGCTGTGGCTCAAGTGGTAGAGCACTAGCCTTGAGCTGAAGAGCTGAGGGACAGTACCCGGGCCCAGAATTCAGGCCCCAAGCCTCAAAACTGGCCAAAAAAAAAAAAAAAGTTCAGAGCTGAGTTGGGATGTAGCTCAATGGCAAAAGTGCTTGCCTAGCAAGTGCAATGTCCTGGGTTCAATCCCCAGTACCGAAAAAGAAAAGACAAAAAAAAAACCCCAAAATATTGTGCATCCTGCTTTCATCTCATTCTCAGTCACATTTGCAAACCAGTGTGTGTGTGTGTGTGTGTGTGTGTGTGTGTGTGTGTGTGTGTACACATGTATGCACCAGTATCAAGGCTTAAACTCAGGGCTTCTTGCTTGGCTTTTTTGTCAGTTGTGGGGCTTGAACTCAGGGCTTGGGCACTGTTCTTGAGCTCTCTTGCTCAAGGCTAGTGCTTTACCACTTTGAGCCACAGCTCTACTTACAGTTTTTGAGTGGTTAATTAGAGATAAGAGTCTCGTGGACTTTCCTATCCAGGCTGGCTTCAAACCACCATCTCAGATCTCAGCCTCTTGAGTAGCTAAGATTACAGGGGTGAGCCATGGACACCTGTCTCTTGCTTGGCTTTTTCACCCAAAAGTGGCACCATACCACTTGAGCCATACCTCCACTTTTGGCTTTTTGCTGGCTAATTGGAGAGAGTCTCATGGACTTTCCTGGCTAGGCTGGCTTTTAACCACCATCCTCAGAATTCAGCCTCCTGAAATTACAGACATGAGACATCAGTGCCTGGCTGACAAACCACTCCTTGGAGTGCCTTAAGATACTTCCAAAAATGCAACAACTATTTCATAAATACTTATATTTCTATTTCAAAGGGAGATGGTTTTTCATCAAATACTTGATAATAAAACAGAGTAAAATACATGCTACTTGAGTTCTGAAAATCTCTATATATGAATAAAAAGTCCATACAATCAAAGTTGAACTCCTAATTGAAAACAAGAATGCAACATTGGAAAGCACCTTTCCTTCCTGACAGTCTCTTTGCTTTGATAAATTAAACCTTCTAAAGAGAAGGTCATATCTGTGGCACTGAGTTGTGATTTCATTTCTGACAGCAGATTCCAGGGCTTAAAACATTGCATTAATTACATTATCCTTTTGATAATAAAAGAGATGCATCTGATTCTTTGAAACAGTTGCAGCAGATGGGAGTATAATGTGAATGTGACAGGATCTATGAAAGTTGTTGGACTGAACTGCTCTGGGGACCGGAACTCAAGATTTCCTTGCAAAACAGAGCATAAGCAAGAACGCAGAAGGTCTTAACTCTGGTTGCCCAATCTCTGTCACTGAGCCTCAGCCCTGTCCTGCTGGGGCCACCAGCACCAGGTGGAAGAACAATTTGGTCTGCTCTCGACTTAATCCTTGCCTGTCTGCGGAGACTTCACCAAGGGTGCCAACTGTAGGATGGCTCAAACACCTGTCCACTAGGAACTGGACTTACATCCCAGCTTCCTTTCATGCGGCCACAAGGAGACATCAGATGGTGGCAACTTCTGGTCCCTCCTGAGAGGATTGGTTACATGGCACCCTGTGGTTCCTGCTACTGCTTCACTCTTCTCTAGATATTTATCCAAGTGGGGAATTTGAAGTGTAAACTAAAATATCAAGCAGAATCTTTTTGCAGAAGTCTAATTATGTATCATTTAGGCAGCACGGAAATGCTTTCCTTTCAGTGGATGCTCACAGCAATCTTTTATTCTTATTGTATTGATTTGTTTAGTTTTTTTTTTTAAATCATTGAATGAACAGATATTCTGTGCCTGGTTCTAAGTCCTGGTTCTAAATCCTCATAACTCTTGAAA